ACATACACACACACCTAAGGCAGAGATTTTTGCTGTCAAATATTTTTTCACCACTAGATGGGACTAGTGAGCATTTGAAGCTTTAAGGTTTTAAGAAATTAACCATTTTGCAACACATTTCCTAAAGAGCTCCATCAAAACTTCATTTCGCAACTGCTAAAGGTTTCCATGTATAAATATTATAGGTATGAATAATATTTAATTATTTTTTATTAGATCTGATCCAGTAAGTAAAATGCCATTTCTTTTTATTTAAGTAGCATTTTTGTGAAATCATTTCATGCAGTGGTTGCATTAGTTGTGGTCCTTGGATTTGAGAAAATTGCCCCTGAAAGGAACTTTAATTTGTCAATAACCAAGGACTGGGAGCCTTGAATAATGGTCACATTTCTAACCCATAAAAATGGAGATAAAACACAGTTTAGCTAGACTGCAGTAGAATCTGTTGTTTTGCAGCTAGGAGGCGAGAAGCAACACAATCAGGGTGAGTTACCTCTTCCTTTAGGGGTGATTTCTACCACCAGGTCCTCTACAGTCACATGCTCCAATCCCTTTTCTTTGATGACCTCTGCATAATCAATTCACAAACACATTTAAATCAGCAAGATTTGATTAAAGAAAAAAAACATGTGATCAACATGTGAAACGTGTGAATAAACAGGTGATCAAGTTTAAAGCTAGGTTCAAAATTTAGGGTAAAGGTGAAATAAAGAAATGTTAAGAAAAAAGCTAAAAAATACATATCACTAAAACGGATGTTGAATTACAAAGCAGGCAACATAAACATCAATCATTATTTACCATCATAAGACAGGAAACAAAATAAATAGGTTCATTAGGCACCAAAACCATAAAATGTGAAACATCCCTTTTTTATTTTTAATAACTGCAAAAAGCTAGTGCTGCAACCAGTGCAGGTCTCTCCTTCAGTGGAATAAAGCGTGGTTTATGATCGCCACAGGCTGCACGCGCTAAAAGTGTCCTTAGGGATGAGGGTGTTTGCACATGCCGTCCCCTGCCTTTCCCTTTCCACTTGTTATGTTCATCGCTGCCCCTCTGTGGCTTTCGCAAGTACTACACATACATCCGGGTCAACTATAAAAGGGTACAGAGCTTCTATGGGCTCTCGCATGGCACGCACAGACCGGCGTGAAAACCAAACGTGTGAGTATATTTCGTTAACCCATCCCGAAAGATGCTTTCTAACTCTGACTGAAAAAATTTACCTGATTAATCGACTATTGAAATAATTGTATACTCATTAGGAACTCCAATTAACCCGAGTACACAGACTGTAAAACATGTCATGTTCTAGAAGAAAAACTGTAATTTAAGATGAAAGAAAAACTGAAAGACAGCTTTTTTAAAAATTATATGATCAATCAAGAAATCCTCATGTAACATGATTACAGGCTGGTTCCAATAAAAAAAAAATCTCCTATTAAAGGTATAGAGGATGATCTTTTATTCCCGGATGGATCATCTAAATAAGTGTTCCTCCTAATTGTCAATCGTTCTGGTGATATATTTACGTAAGGCTGTCCTATGCTCGTCCCGTTAGCTATCTTTTTCCGTGCATGTGCACTTTAAGATGTATATCTGTTGTGAGCTGCGGTTTCAGACCGTCATTGAAGCTCACTTTTCTCACCGAGGTTCTTTGAAAATGGCCGAGGCTCGTAGGAGAAAAAGTGTCTACGAAGTGTATTAGAAGAAAAGAAAGGCCTCAGAAAAGGCAAACATATCCCAGAATGCTTTGAGGTGGAGAGCTCTTCTTGAAAAAGCATGATGGGATTTGCTGTCACAACGGCGAGCTGTCGCCATAAGCTGTCGCTACCCGACAGCGGCAATTAACAACAAAGATGGCGCAGGCACCATGCAGTGGAGGAGGAGTTACGTGACCAGCAGGGAGCAAAAAGTAGCGATCATCTGTCCGAACAGTCAGTTAACCGAGTTCACTATAAAGTCCACTATATATTCCCCGCTCTACGTTTGAACACAGTAAGCTTGTATGAATTATGAGAACAGAAACAGAGCGTGCACGAGGAGAAATGGGCTCATGCACGCTCTCGCACGTGTTTAATGGGGTTCCCTCTCAGGAGCGGGTACAGGGTTTTGCATGTGCATTTTTTTTAAAGTAGAGAGGGCAGATCTTTTAAAAAGTTGCGAAAATCTGTCATTATACCTTTAAGCATCTTGTACAATCCAATTATTAATGAATTTACCGAAAAAGGAATACAACAGAATCCATTCCAAACATTCATTGTATGTGATTTCCACAGTTGGAGGAATCTGTGTGTAGAGGAGGAAAACAAACCGAGGCGAACGGTGCGAATGTAGTGAGCTGAATGGCCGAGCTTTTTGGCAAATTCTGCTAAATTAAATCACTTTGCGTACTTCGCAGGTGTGGAATCAGAACTATTGTTTCAGGGACTAGATGTGGCTGTGAGTTACAGTGAAGAAGGCAGCAAATCAAAACAGCGGACAGAGAAAATGACGAAGACAGAGGAAAAAGTGGGGAATGCTCTTAAGAGGTCTGCTGGTTTTTAGAAAAAAGGTATTTTAAAGGAAGGCAGCCCAGCTTCCTTCATGTTTTACCGGCTGCCATGTTGTTGTTTTTTTTACCTTTGCACTGGGCCTTCATTTGGTCCTTCCATCCACACTCAGTGAGTTTAGCCCTCAGCAGCTCCTTCAGCCTATCGGTCAAATAAACAGAGGAGAGCAGGTGAATAATAACCATTATCACATTAGTAACGCCTTTAAGGTTACATTCTATCTCGATTATATGATTTAATTAACATCAGATCCAGGCAGACTCTGTGTGTCACCTGTTCTGATGCCATCCACCTGTTATGCAATGCAACAAAATGTTTCATTTGTTTTTGTTTTTTTCAGTGGGAAGGATAGATTATCTGCATCCTTTACAATAAATTATTTTGTATAACAGCTACATCAAGGCAAACAAATGCAGAAATACATTTATTGTTCACCTCCTGCATCTGTTAGAGCAAAGATTTAAAGCACTTGTCTGAAAGAGCTTGATCTAAACATTTAAGGAAAGTTTTACTTTGGACTCCTTTTTATACGTTTGTTTTCTCTTGAAAAACAAACTGGATTGTTCTGTTATTAAGCGATGATAGTGAACCGTTTTGTTCTTTTCTTTAAGTTAGTCTACTCTCTTTAAAACAAAGCCTCATTCTGCAAGTTTCTATTAGTTAATATTAGATGCGCCATAGTTCAGATGTATATTTACTGGGCTCATAGCAAAAAGCCTTGTTGGCATGAGGTGACAAAACTAATACAATGTGTAAACATTATTTAATAACCTAGTTTCTTCCACACATAACACTTTCCCTGCCACTAACTGATCAGCAAACATGAATTTTGCAGTCACAGTCTACACACTGCAAAAAAACTACATCTAGATAAGTCCTTTTTTCTTAAAATAAGGACATTTGTCCTTGAATTGAGGAGGTAAAAGAGACATTTTGCCAATGGAACAAGACAATTTACACTTAAAATAAGAAAACACAATTGCATTGTCTTATTTCAAGTGCATATTATCCAATTATCTTATTTTAAGAGTAAAATTACTCATTACATTGGTAAACTAGTTCATTTACCTACTCAAATTAAGGGTGAATACACTTAATTTAAGACATGTT